GGGGGGGGGTGGGGACTTCAATGAGCAAGACAAGGAAATCCAACCCCAAAAAAACCCCTTCTCTGCTGGGAATGTCTTGACCCATCCATGGCAAGAGGCCCCACCCTCTATTGTCTTCTGCTGATGAGGCTTTTCAAGGAGAAGGTGGCACCCCACGGCTGGTGGCTGAAACTGTGAAGAAATCACATCAAGAATCACCCACCCCAAGGACTTGAAAGGAGGAACTTCCTCCTTTCTGGGTTCCTCTTCCAACCACTCAATCATCATCCTCTGATTGGTTGAACTTCTCAAGTCCCACCACGTTGGAGTCCCCCCTGGGGTTATAAAATGAAGGCTGAGCTCAGCAGGAGACACGTCCCTCCTGCTGGAACCATGACCAGGCTTGGTGAGTGACTCCAAATCTTGACTTTAATCCCTCGTTTCCTTCCTCAGGTGTCTTCTTTTTGGTGGGACATCCAACCTTGGTGTCACCTCCTGCCACCACCATCACCACGAAGCTCCTCCTTGGGGGAAAGGGGCATTTCTTGGTCATCTGGAGCATTGGGGGTGGTGGGAGAACCTTCCCATGAGTGTTTAGGTCCCAGTTGGTGGTGGAGGGAGAGGTGGAAACCCAAGCTCAGGATCTCCAGGGACCTTCTTGGAGCAGGTTTGTGGGTTCTCCAACCACAGCAGGAGGGTTGGGTGGAAGGTGAAGATCCATCCAACCCTTCCAAGAGCAGCTGGGGAGTCATCTCTTCTCCTCCCATGGAAGACCTGGACCTCCCAAGAAGGATCTCCTTGGTTTTCCACCTGGTCCAGAGTGGGGGGATCACCAAGTTGAGGAGCAACGAGACCGACCCACCACCATGAACCCCAAAACTCACCTCAAAGGAACCTCCAGGAAGACCAGGGGGTGGATTTAGGTCCTTCAGAAAAGCCACCTCTGAAGTTCCTTCAAGCAGGGGAACTTCAGCCCAGGTTTGTTTTTTTTTGGGGGGGGGTTTCCATCCAAAAACCCCAACGACTCCCACCAGGGTTTTCCAGGAGAACCACCCAGGTTTGGTTTTCTTGGTTCTTCCCTGGAAAGACCAAGTTTGGGTGGGAGAGGAAGGAAGAGAAAGTGAAAGTTGCCCCCGGGGGGGAGGTGATTTTGGAGAAAAGAAACCAACACCAGAAGCAAAAAAAAAACCCCTTCAAACCTGGTGGTTTCTCCTTCAAGGTCCTTTCCTTGTGGGAAGGAGTTGGAGGAGCTGCTGAGACCTTCTCACCTCCCCCCCCCAAATCATCTCCCCCCACCCCAAAATCATCCCCTTGTGAGGTCACCAGAGCAGGTTGATCCAGATGTGGCTTTTCTAGGAGGTTCCTCCTCCAAGGGTTGGACACCTTGGTGATGTCACATCTCCCATCTGGGCTTCTGGAATGACATCACAGGGGGGGGTTGGTGACCTCATGACGTCATCATCTTCTCTCCTCCCCCCTCCCAAAGTCCTCTTCCAGGTCCTCCTCCTGGTGGGGCTCCTGAGCGCCCACAAGTTCTTGGGGTACCCTGAGTATTGTCTCCATGACCCCGATTATGAGGAGCTGCTGAAGATCATCCAGGATGGGTTGGGACGTGCTGGGACTCCAGCCCACGTGGTGGTGGTGGGTGCAGGGATCAGTGGCCTGACAGCAGCCAAGCTGCTCCACGAGGCTGGGCACAAGGTGAGGGGGGTGGAGGGGACCCAGCAGGGGTGGGAGGAGGTTGAGAAGGTTCTCCAGGGTTGGAAGGTTGAGAAGGTTCTCCAGGGGTGGAAGGGGGGGAAGGTTTTCCAGGGGTGGAAGGTGGAGAAGGTTGAGAAGGTTTAACCAGGGTAGAAGGTAGAGGAGGTTGAGAAGGTTCATGTGGGGTGGAAGGTGCAGAAGGTTCAACAGGGGTGGAAGGACGGGCGAGATCCATGGGTGGCCCCAGCAAGGTGGGAAAGATCCA